TCACATTTCTGTGTTAAAAAAACAAAGATAAAAACAAAATAAAATAAATGTGTAGCTTAAAAGCATTCATAAATATATATATATGGCACATATGAAACACGCATTTTAAAAGGAAGGAAAAATATATTGAGGAAAAACATGTTCTCACAGAAAGTTCTGATGAAAAATAGGATCCAATACTGACGTAGAAAATATATCAGTATTTGCTTTCCAAATATCAGAGAGCACTCCAAAGAGCAGAAACCACCAAAATCGAAGGCTAGTTATGAACACATTAGTATCTTACCTTTTTCATCAATGTTAAACTCAAGGCAATGGCAGGAACCTAAATGTGTACTTTTAACAAAAACTGAATTACAAGCCAGGAGGATTGACTTACCAGAACCAAGGAATTTGTGTAGTTTGTTGATCCAGGGGAGTCCAATACTATGTACACCAGCATCATGTGTGCAGTGGTAGCGAGAAGGACATTTGGGATCTGAGAAATATAAACAAGATTTGTATTAATAGATGGCCAAATTGACACAAGACACACATTTCAAACCTCATGTGCTTGATAATATGAGTTTAAAAATGGAAATCTGCCAGGTTTCTTATATGAACCAGTTCCATCATCTCCCAAAACTTCGGTTGCTCATGATTGTATAGTAACACAACTTGAAAAATAAGGCAAGGGATTTACAGAAACAATGTTGCTTTGACTGTATCTAAAAAAATTATATAATTAGAATAGGAAATTATTTGCCTCTTTGATTATTTGCCATTTCTGCTCAAAATATAAAGTGTGTAGATAGATGATAAACATTATATGTTTACATACTGTACTACTTTCAGTGACTCGTGGTACAATGCTGTGCATGTCTACTTAAAAAATCATCTGTATTCAATTAAGCCTACATTAAGTCTTAATAAGAATACACTTCAAGGTCACATTTGCAACTCTCCTTCCATTTGATTGTCTCAATTGTTCTATAAAGTAGATTAGGCTGAAAGACTGTGGAAGATCCACAGCCCTCCAGCCAACATTAGAATTAAACAATATTTTTAACTCCCATACTCCAGGTACAATGCTGGAACTTTCCAGATGTGTATTTTTTTAAAAAAAATTATTTTGTTATATGCCCTAAAAGGCAGGTTTATCAGATATTAAATGGACAAGGTAAAAGATAACAAAAGTAAGAAAAATAATGACCTGTGTTCTTACCTCTGTGCAATTTCATTGGACAAGAGAAATCTGACTCTACAGGTTCTTCCCCTTCTCTGGAGGCTAATCTCAGGGCAAGTTCCAATTCAACACACTCAAACACATAGAGTGATGGAATGAGGTCAGATCGGGAATCCCAAGACTTGACAGACTGCAGGGGAAATGGAATGATTCTATTAACGTGTTTCAAGTCATGATCCCTTGAGACACATCAGGTTAATAAGCAGTAGCATTTAGTCTCATATACCGCCCCACGGCACTTTAGAGCAGGGCTTTTCAGCCGGTGGTACTTTAGCACCTGGCAGGTGGTACGCGACCCCTAGCCAAGTGTAGCAGGGGAGGGAATGAGCTAAAGCGGCACCACACGGGCCTGGAAGAAATCAGCTGGAGTTGCAGGATTCGGCAGAGGCCCCAGGATCTGCGTGCGCGGCTGCATGCTGGTTGGAGCTTCCGGCAAATCCGGAAGAGAAAAGGAGGAAGAGGGCAGAGAGAGAAGGAGTTACAAAAGGAGCAGGTTTTGGCGGGAGAAGGAGAGAAAAAAACCACACAGAGAGAGAAGAGGCTTTTGTTAGCGAAGCGGTGAGGAGAGCACGAGTGCCCTTTGCGAGCGAAGGGTAAGTGAGTGAAAGAGTGAGAGGCTTTTGCGAGCAAAGTGTGAGTGAGTGAGAGCGCGAGCAAGGGGCTTTTGCAAGCAAAGTGAATGAGTGAAAGAGTGAGAGGCAATGATGAAAAACACTGGCGAAGACAGAGGCTGCTTCTCAGTCCCCCAATCTTCTATCTGGTGTCCGTAGAAGTGGCACACTTAAAGACTTTAGCATATTTTTTAAACCTGGGGTGAACAGATTAAGAAAGTGACAGATGGAGGGTTCCCAAATTATTCCAATGCCTCTCTGAAAAACACTCAAGTCAAAATTAGGAAACTGAAAGTCATCCATTTTATTACTGAATGACAGCAGTGAAAAGAGCTGGGGAACAATATGCAACCCATAGGCTACTCACTACACTGTTTATTATAACTCAAATTAATATGCAAGATCACTATAAGAAATCTGGAAATACAGCAAATGATCTCTTGTGCAGTCAGATGCCTAAAAATATACACAAATGTTTTAAGGGATTTTATACTCAGGTCATTTCACCCTATAGTTGGGACTGTTTCTGGTAGAAAAAGCTATTTTTAGGTGCTCAAGGCATGGATCCTATCAATTAAAATTTGATTCTTTCATCTGGACAATGTTAGAGCTTTCTGCATGCAGAACCTTTTGTTTTACTACTGAACTAGAGATTCCTCCCATATATCAAGACCTTTTTTTTTTATCAAAAGTGCAAACTGTAGCAGTAACATACCATCTGTTCATCATCTTCTTCTCCTTCTAGTACCACACAATGGTAAAGCATTCCCGATTCGGTAGCAATCACTAGGATGTTAGGAACACATGGAAGACAGAGAACTGCACAAGCATCGTAGCCATAATTGTCTTCAGCTGCAGGATACATTGGCATTGGGCCCAGCAGCTTGCCAAGGTTACTGGTGCTAGAATAAAAATATTTTCAAGATGAGTGGGAAATTGTTTAATAGCATTCTTTCATCATCCCTCTCCTGCCAAATAAACCAAACTAACTGCTTGAAAGAGGAAACTTTTTAAACCTGAATCACCAGGAGCTAAGAATGTTCCATGGTCACTCATATTTAATATTTATTCCGAGAACAAACAAAAAAGCTTGTATTTTGCAAAAGTCTAATGTAATGTTCATTCCTGGAAGCAGTCACTTGAGCCACACTTCAAAGAAGCTCTAAGCACTGCTAGGGACAGATTCTTAGTTGCTGCCTTCTTAAAAATCAAATGTAATTAACCAGACTTTTTAGGTGTCCTAATAGTGTTGCTTTATTCATAACCATGAAACATCCTCCGTGTATTTGTCTTGCATTGGATGCAAATACTTTGTTTGGTCTTTGACTCTTCATCAGTTTCACTGCAGTGCCCTAAATGTTAGCCCAATAGAAGAATATTTGAATAGCTAATACAAAACCTGCCAGCGCTGGAATACTCAAACTTACCAAGGCACGGTACCAGTGGCAGAAGATGAAGTGTTATTTATAAACAGTTTATTTCCATTCAGCCTTTTAAAACAATTTTATAAACTATATTTGAACACGAACTCTCTAGTGCAGATAGGCAAACTGAATGCCACTAAGTGAACTTTCTCAACTAAGTCTTTACCTGTGCAAGAGATTAATGTAGATCAGAAAAGTCTCTCCATTTTCATACAGGATATACATAGGATATGCCAGCATATCCTCTTTCTCTCTCTGACCAGTTATGTTCTTAGGAAGTACTGCTAGAGGTCCAAAGTCAAATGCCACGGCAGTCTCCCCTATCAACGCTGTATATGTTCTCCTGAAGCAGAAAAGGCAGATAGAGACTTTAGTCTGCAGTGACTCTAAAACACAGGTCCAGTTTTCAGACAAACAAACAATGGCTGAGCATGCCTAGAGAGGAGGAAGATTCAATCTTACCCCTTATTAAGTCTCAGTGTTTCCTCATCAGCATTCGAAAGAGTTATCACTTTCACAGGTGTCTGGGGAGAACTCAAACTATAAATCCTATTAAACAAAGAAAGAAACAAAAAACATTCCACGTGATTATTTCTTCAGATTGAATATCTGTAAGTGTACATTTAGTTATGGTAAACCATATTTGGATTTTTTTGGCAGCAGCAGCAAAAGTAACCATAAAAACAAGAGATGGCCTTGAGATCTGTTTTTATGTTTCTTTGGAGTTATAACTCTCTTAAATACAATCTATTCAGAGCAAGAAAATGTTACCTTATTGTGTTGTCAGATGTTAATAGCACAACATGGGGCTCCAGAATCTCACTAGGGTACCAAGAAGCATGCTTCAGGGTCAGAGATGATGAACTGGTGAAGAATCTTTCAGCAATAGGTATGGTACTGGAAAACACATGTCTGCATTTCAGCCACAAAGGATCTACCATTCATTCATCTGTTGCAATGCTCTAACCAGCAAATTACATGCTTACAATGTCTATGCTATGAAACGTTTATCCACTGATTTGTAGGCCAACCTGCTATCAGAAACATAGATTAGAATGGCTTGATATTTTTGATTGCTTTCCCAGTTGACCCTTATTAAAAAATTTCCCTGCAACCTCAATCTCATGCTCCTTCTCAAGTCCCAAACTGCTTTCCAGAACACTTTCATGAGAAATTTTCTTCAAATGTACACATCTGCTTTAGCATCTACCTCCATACTGTAGGTAGATTTAACTGAAATGATGAACCATTTTCAAAAATACAAAAAGGGAAATGATAACGGTGATTTAGGTGATTCTAAAGTTAATAATCAAGATGAATGGAAATTCTACATACCTACAGTTAATAGTAGATTTTCCACCTTCAAATTCAGAATTCTTTCCCCAACGTTTAGGTAACTCCAACACCATTAATCCTTTTGTTCCTATGAGAGCTACATGCTGTTGCATAGGACTTAAAGAAGTTTGATACACTTCAAAAAAGGGTGAATTTATGCAAAGAAGAANATAGCAGAAAAATGCAAAAACAGCCAAATACAGAATGAGAGACTTTCAGCCAGAAAAAGAAAAGTCTAATCATGAGACCACTGAAAAGACTTGAGCTTTGGTGGTCCATCCCAAACAAGATGCAGTTTGCCAATTGCAGTAATGAGAACCAACAGCCAAAACAAAGAACAAGCAATAACACACAAGGCTTGGAAAGGGTCTTAGCGCATCAGTGAGAAAAGCAGCAAAGTAACAACAACAAAAAATCCACTTTATGTGAAATTAGATTTTCACAAAGAGAAAGATGCTGTACTTCAGCAACAACGGATTTGCGGAGGTGCGACACAAGATGTTTCGGATATGTCTCTCAAAGGAGTCCTGTGATTCAGCTAGAATGCGGAGAGGTGTGGTAAACATCTGTGGTTCTTCCTTGGTGCACAGAAGTGGAGGGCATGTTGGGTGGACTGTGGAACTGTCAAAACAAATGTCAGGCATCTATTAATATCAACGATTCTCCTCTGCCTTTTTTTTCTCCTTTTCAGTAAGTTCCTCAAATACTTATAACCCTACCAATTATAAAAAAAAAATCATGGCTTGTATTGCCATTGCTCTTCCTCTTGTGCAGAAAATGTCAAAGAGGCTTATTCAATATTATATTTTGCTGCTAATAATCTTTCCCTCCTTTCTATGAGAACAGATTAGAGAAATCAAGGTGGTTTTTTTTTTCTTTCCCCCTGTAGCTAAGATGCTGGCAAAAAGCACTGCAGGGCATACAAAATTGCAAATGAAGGACAATTCATCACTTTCTCTCCTATCCCACACATTCTCCAGTAAAACATTCTTGCATCTATTTTTCTTCCAGATTAGATTTTTCCAGGAAAACATAGCAAGATAAATGCTTAACCCTAGTTTGGGGGACACAATGCTCTTTTCTATTTTGCTATTAGAATTGATCTGGAAACCAGAAAAAAGACATATATTTTCCATTTGTATTCTTGCAGAAAGCACCAGAGACGCCCCATTACCTTTGTTTGAACAGGCAACAAAGTTATTAAGCTATTGGTTATAAGCCATGTGTTTTGCAGATCCTCACTAAAATACTATACTTCATAGATAGATTAAATAAAAGCCAAGTATACAAAGGTCATTGTCTCAACTTGAAGAATTCAAGTTCAATGAGGGCTGGTGCCAGCAAGCATATCACAAAGGAGTTAGCCAAACAGCAGGTATATAAGAAAAAACAGACATTCAAGACAAAGTAATAAATGTAGTAAATTCAAACAAGAGAATTTAAAAATCCATGTCAACCAAAAAGGTTGATTAACTGTTTAATACTGCATTTGAATCTGGGTAACCTTAATAAGATTTGTGGAACAAGCCACCTCAATCTAAAACAGTGTTTCTCAATTTTGGAAACTTTACAATGGGGAACTTCAACTCCCAGAATTCCTCAGCCAGCCTATCTGGGAATTGAAGTCCTCCTGCCTTAAAGTTACCAAGGTTGAGAAACACTGATCTAAAATTTAAGCAAAGTTGAGAAAAAAAGTAATATATTTATAATCTATGTTGGCACATGGAAACAGCAATATTTTTCACTTGCAGAAAACGTAAAAGTAAATATGACTCAGGCACAAATTATAATTGGCTTCATACTTACAGAAGAGGCCTGGTAATGCATTCGTAGGTCTTGGTGATGCAAACCATTGTAGGGCCCAGAATATCAGAGACAATCCAGAACCCTCTAATTGCAGCAGGTTGTCTACAGGAACAAAACATCTCTTTAAAAGTTCTGGCAGTCTTAGTGGCAGCAGAACAGCCATCTTTACTATATTCAGACTCATAAACAAAAGGTTATTCCTCTCTATGGGAAGCTATTTAGCTCCAACTGAATGGGCAGTATGACCCAGGTGTGCTGCCTGCTTCTTAAAAAGGTTTGGGTGATTATTTCTGGATTCCAGGCATCTTCAGTTCACAAGTCCTAGAAATGTGTCCCTTTTTTTCTAGCATAACCCTTCCTAACCAAATGTTTGACAACTGTATTTGTTTATACAATACATAGACCACCATGGCTCTGGGACATTTATTTATTTATCTAATTTATAAGCCACAATGACTCGAGGATGCTTAAAAGTAAAAGAAAAAAATACAACTGGAGATAGTATCTCAAACAGCCAGGTATATGCCATGATTACAACCTTCATCATCCCTAATCAGCACAATTACTCTTCATGCCTGAAAAGATGAAAGTTACACTCCAATATATCTGAAGAGTATAAAGTTGGGGACTAAGATATTTAGATATATAAAATGAAAGATCCAACCTACAACGATTCTCTTGAACATTATTTTTTCTATAACATACAACTCTACTTGAGCAAGGTAAATGCAGTACACGTGACCCCCACCCACACACACACCAGTCTCTATCCTGAACACATGTTGTATTCTCCCATCTCCCACGAAATTATTAACAAAGCCAACATATTCTTCACTGTTTCAAATGTTACAACAACTATCTGTAACAGTTATTGAGCAAAAGTCTCCAAGGGTAAGCTGCATGAAGAACATCAATTGGAGAAAAGGTGGAAGCCACACTGGCTCCTACCTGCATGGTAGAGGTTTGGTACACAGGATATGCTCCACGAAGCACTTCTGTTCTGCCCCAAGCTCTTGCAAACTGTCTTTGTCTTCTTCATCTGAAAGAGCAAGTCCTCTCATTTAATACAAAACACCAATTCCAATGTGCAGGATTCGGATATCACAACAAACTACCCTATTCATTTGATACGTTTTCATATCACATTTCTGTGTTAAAACACAAAGATAAAAACAAAATAAAATAAATGTGTACCTTAAAAGTATTCATAAATATATATATGGCACATATGAAACACGCATTTTAAAAGGAAGGAAAAATATATTGAGGAAAAACATGTTCTCACAGAAAGTTCTGATGAAAAATAGGATCCAATACTGACATAGAAAATATATCAGTATTTGCTTTCCAAATATCAGAGAGCACTCCAAAGAGCAGAAACCACCAAAATCGAAGGCTAGTTATGAACACATTAGTATCTTACCTTTTTCATCAATGTTAAACTCAAGGCAATGGCAGGAACCTAAATGTGTACTTTTAACAAAAACCAAATTACAAGCCAGGAGGATTGACTTACCAGAACCAAGGAATTTGTGTAGTTTGTTGATCCAGGGGAGTCCAATACTATGTACACCAGCATCGTGTGTGCAGTGGTAGCGAGAAGGACATTTGGGATCTGAGAAATATAAACAAGATTTGTGTTAATAGATGGCCAAATTGACACAAGACACACATTTCACACCTCATGTGCTAGATAATATGAGTTTAAAAATGGAAATCTGCCAGGTTTCTTATATGAACCAGTTCCATCATCTCCCAAAACTTCAGTTGCTCATGATTGTATAGTAACACAACTTGAAAAATAAGGCAAGGGATTTACAGAAACAATGTTGCTTTGACTGTATCTAAAAAAATGATATAATTGGAATAGGAAATTATTTGCCTTTCTGATTATTTGTCATTTCTGCTCAAAACATAGTGTGTAGATAGATGATAAACATTATATATTTACATACTGTATTACTTTCAGTGACTCATGGTACAATGCTGTGCATGTCTACTTAAAAATCATCTGTGTTCAACTAAGCCTACATTAAGTCTTAATAAGAATATACTTCAAGGTCACATTTGCAACTCTCCTTCTTCCATTTGATTGTCTCAATTGTTCTATAAGGTAGATTAGGCTGAAAGACTGTGGAAGATCCACAGCCCTCCAGCCAACATTAGCATTAAACAATATTTTTAACTCCCATACTCCAGGTACAATGCTGGAACTTTCCAGATGTGTATTTTTTTTTAAAAAAAAATTATTTTGTTATATGCCCTAAAAGGCAGGTTTATCAGATATTAAATGGACAAGGTAAAAGATAACAAAAGTAAGAAAAATAATGACCTGTGTTCTTACCTCTGTGCAATTTCATTGGACAAGAGAAATCTGACTCTACAGGTTCTTCCCCTTCTCTGGAGGCTAATCTCAGGGCAAGTTCCAATTCAACACACTCAAACACATAGAGTGATGGAATGAGGTCAGATCGGGAATCCCAAGACTTGACAGACTGCAGGGGAAATGGAATGATTCTATTAATGTGTTTCAAGTCATGATCCCTTGAGACACATCAGGTTAATAAGCTGTAGCATTTAGTCTCATATACCGCCCCACGGCACTTTAGAGCAGGGCTTTTCAGCCGGTGGTACTTTAGCACCTGGCAGGTGGTACGCGACCCCTAGCCAAGTGTAGCAGGGGAGGGAATGAGCTAAAGCAGCACCACACGGGCCTGGAGGAAATCAGCTGGAGTTGCAGGATTCAGCAGAGGCCCCAGGATCTGCGTGCGCGGCTGCATGCTGGTTGGAGCTTCCGGCAAATCCAGAAGAGAAAAGGAGGAAGAGGGCAGAGAGAGAAGGAGTTACAAAAGGAGCAGGTTTTGGCGGGAGAAGGAGAGAAAAAAACCACACAGAGAGAGAAGAGGCTTTTGTTAGCGAAGCGGTGAGGAGAGCACGAGTGCCCTTTGCGAGCGAAGGGTAAGTGAGTGAAAGAGTGAGAGGCTTTTGCGAGCAAAGTGTGAGTGAGTGAGAGCGCGAGCAAGAGGCTTTTGCAAGCAAAGTGAATGAGTGAAAGAGTGAGAGGCAATGATGAAAAACACTGGCGAAGACAGAGGCTGCTTCTCAGTCCCCCAATCTTCTATCTGGTGTCCGTAGAAGTGGCACACTTAAAGACTTTAGCATATTTTTTAAACCTGGGGTGAACAGATTAAGAAAGTGACAGATGGAGGGTTCCCAAATTATTCCAATGCCTCTCTGAAAAACACTCAAGTCAAAATTAGGAAACTGAAAGTCATCCATTTTATTACTGAATGACAGCAGTGAAAAGAGCTGGGGAACAATATGCAACCCATAGGCTACTCACTACACTGTTTATTATAACTCAAATTAATATGCAAGATCACTATAAGAAATCTGGAAATACAGCAAATGCTCTCTTGTGCAGTCAGATGCCTAAAAATATACACAAATGTTTTAAGGGATTTTATACTCAGGTCATTTCACCCTATAGTTGGGACCGTTTCTGGTAGAAAAAGCTATTTTTTAGGTGCTCAAGGCATGGATCCTACCAATTAAAATTTGATTCTTTCATCTGGACAATGTTAGAGCTTTCTGCATGCAGAACCTTTTGTTTTACTACTGAAGTAGAGATTCCTCCCATATATCAAGACCTTTTTTTATCAAATGTGCAAACTGTAGCAGTAACATACCATCTGTTCATCATCTTCTTCTCCTTCTAGTACCACACAATGGTAAAGCATTCCCGATTCGGTAGCAATCACTAGGATGTTAGGAACACATGGAAGACAGAGAACTGCACAAGCATCGTAGCCATAATTGTCTTCAGCTGCAGGATACATTGGCATTGGGCCCAGCAGCTTGCCAAGGTTACTGGTGCTAGAATAAAAATATTTTCAAGATGAGTGGGAAATTGTTTAATAGCATTCTTTCATCATCCCTCTCCTGCCAAATAAACCAAACTAACTGCTTGAAAGAGGAAACTTTTTAAACCTGAATCACCAGGAGCTAAGAATGTTCCATGGTCACTCATATTTAATATTTATTCCGAGAACAAATAAAAAAGCTTGTATTTTGCAAAAGTCTAATGTAATGTTCATTCCTGGAAGCAGTCACTTGAGCCACACTTCAAAGAAGCTCTAAGCACTGCTAGGGACAGATTCTTAGTTGCTGCCTTCTTAAAAATCAAATGTAATTAACCAGACTTTTTAGGTGTCCTAATAGTGTTGCTTTATTCATAACCATGAAACATCCTCCGTGTATTTGTCTTGCATTGGATGCAAATACTTTGTTTGGTCTTTGACTCTTCATCAGTTTCACTGCAGTGCCCTAAATGTTAGCCCAATAGAAGAATATTTGAATAGCTAATACAAAACCTGCCAGCGCTGGAATACTCAAAACTTACCAAGGCACGGTACCAGTGGCAGAAGATGAAGTGTTATTTATAAGCAGTTTATTTCCATTCAGTCTTTTAAAACAATTTTATAAACTATATTTGAACACGAACTCTCTAGTGCAGATAGGCGAACTGAATGCCACTAAGTGAACTTTCTCAACTAAGTCTTTACCTGTGCAAGAGATTAATGTAGATCAGAAAAGTCTCTCCATTTTCATACAGGATATACATAGGATATGCCAGCACATCCTCTTTCTCTCTCTGACCAGTTATGTTCTTAGGAAGTACTGCTAGAGGTCCAAAGTCAAATGCCACGGCAGTCTCCCCTATCAACGCTGTATATGTTCTCCTGAAGCAGAAAAGACAGAGACTTTAGTCTGCAGTGACTCTAAAAACACAGGTCCAGTTTTCAGACAAACAAACAATGGCTGAGCGTGCCTAGAGAGGAGGAAGATTCAATCTTACCCCTTATTAAGTCTCAGTGTTTCCTCATCAGCATTCGAAAGAGTTATCACTTTCACAGGTGTCTGAGGAGAACTCAAACTATAAATCCTATTAAACAAAGAAAGAAACAAAAAACATTCCACGTGATTATTTCTTCAGACTGAATATCTGTAAGTGTACATTTAGTTATGGTAAACCATATTTGGATTTTTTTGGCAGCAGCAGCAAAAGTAACCATAAAAACAAGAGATGGCCTTGAGATCTGTTTTTATGTTTCTTTGGAATTATAACTCTCTTAAATACAATCTATTCAGAGCAAGAAAATGTTACCTTATTGTGTTGTCAGATGTTAATAGCACAACATGGGGCTCCAGAATCTCACTAGGGTACCAAGAAGCATGCTTCAGGGTCAGAGATGATGAACTGGTGAAGAATCTTTCAGCAATAGGTATGGTACTGGAAAACACATGTCTGCATTTCAGCCACAAAGGATCTACCATTCATTCATCTGTTGCAATGCTCTAACCAGCAAATTACATGCTTACAATGTCTATGCTATGAAAAGTTTATCCACTGATTTGTAGGCCACCCTGCTATCAGAAACATAGATTAGAATGGCTTGATATTTTTGATTGCTTTCCCAGTTGACCCTTATTAAAAAATTTCCCTGCAACCTCAATCTCATGCTCCTTCTCAAGTCCCAAACTGCTTTCCAGAACACTTTCATGAGAAATTTTCTTCAAATGTACACACTTGCTTTAGCATCTACCTCCATACTGTAGGTAGATTTAACTGAAATGATGAACCATTTTCAAAGATACAAAAAGGGAAATGATAACGGTGATTTAGGTGATTCTAAAGTTGATAATCAAGATGAATGGAAATTCTACATACCTACAGTTAATAGTAGATTTTCCACCTTCAAATTCAGAATTCTTTCCCCAACGTTTAGGTAACTCCAACACCATTAATCCTTTTGTTCCTATGAGAGCTACATGCTGTTGCATAGGACTTAAAGAAGTTTGATACACTTCAAAAAAGGGTGAATTTATGCAAAGAAGAATCTGAAAACAAAAACAGATTTGATTAGTTAGAGACATTTCTAACTAGCATAAGGACTGATATACTATGCTAAGCCTTGCTTTGCTTAATCATGATTTGTTGAATAAACTTAAATTGGGTATATTTCCACAATGTGCAAAGTCATGAACCACAATCTACAAAACATAATGGCTGTGTTCACACAAAATGAAGCTTTTATAGTATTACTAGTAACTGCCAATGTTCAAGGACTAGATTCATAATTACAATAGATGATTAAGAAGTTGGCAGTCACAGGCAAAAGGAATTATTCATTCTTCCAACTGAAACAGATGTGTGATGGATAGTCTTTTGATACTATGGAAAATAATTCCTGGTTTGTCAATGAAGCTTTATATTGTCTCTATTTATGTACCTTTTTGGATTTTCCCTGTTTAGCAAAAACTAAATTGCATTTCTTCTGACTTGCCAACTTATGTAAAATAAGAACAGAAAAGAATTACAGGAAAAAAATCTCACAGAAATTTCAAGACTGTTTGGAGACTATACTGCTTCACACTACAGGTAAGATCAAGCGTTCACATGACCATTATTTTCATGCATCTTCAATCAACCTACCTACCAACTAACCAATATTTGTAGTATTTTTCATCTAATTTATGAGTCACCCCATAACAAAGTTCAATGGAAGGACAATTTTTATAGCTTTTAATAAATTTTTTTAATAACTATTGATTTTCTTTAATTAAATATTGTACGCTGCCCAGAGTCATTCTCTTGTGAGATGGGCAGCTATACAAATACGATAAATAATTTGTATGTCAGAGTTTGCATTTTGAGAATAAGTGACATTAAATGCTAAAAAACAATTAAAAGCCAATTGCAATCCCAGATATAAAATTATATTTAGTATAATTTAAAGGGTCTGTGAAAATTAGTGGACATTAACTTTGCTGCCAAATAGGAGTTCAAGAACAGTTAGTCTTGCTTTCTCTTACAGATGCCACTTATATTTCTGCACAATGAATACCCTCATTTTTTTCATGGAAAACTGAACTTTTCGGATTCAACCCAAATTTACACATTCAATACTTGGGACAAAAATGAGGTTGCCTGTGCATATATGGCTGTATGCATAAGGTAAATACAGCCTAAGGGACGTGGGGGAATGCTCCTTCCCCAAACGTGATGCACAAAGTTTACAGACATGTTTACAGACATAGGCAAAGGAATGGTTCCCACAAACAAAATGCTAGTAGCATTTCAGCAAGGTGAAGCTGAAATTCTTCTAGATCTACTGCTCTAAATATCAGATATTTTTCTTCCTCTAAAACAGAGGAAGATGTAGTATTTCCAGATGGAGATGAAACTGGAACAAGCCTTCCAAGAGAACGGGCTTTCTCTGCAGCACCCAATTATTACGACTAGCATCATCAATATCATCACTATGACCTGGCCTTCCCTCTCAGAACCAGGAGACTCGCTCAAGAAACGCCCCACCTGGTACCCGCCCAAGCTCTCCGGGTCGTCGCCAAGGTGCCTCAGGTTGAGGACGCAAAAGGCGGCACGTTCGCGGTCCCACAGGAAGAGTTCCCCGCCGATGCCAAACATCAGATCCCTCGGAAGGGCTGGCCTGGCTTGCTCTGTCTCCGGCCCGGCTTCAGAGGCCTGCTCTCTCAGGCGACCCAGCACGACGTGGCGAGGCAGTTCGGCCCACCAATGCTCTCCTAAACCCGGCGACACAGCCGCCGCCATGGTTACTTCAGCGAGGCGAGTGGAACGTCGGTCGCTTAATAGGCGGCTAAACGGTTCCGATCTGGCCACCTCAGACTGCAGAACTACAGCTCCCAGCGCGCATTTCGGCGCCGACCATAGAGTACTTAAAAGTTGCTTGGCGGGTTTTAACTCTTCTCCCCGCCCTCCGGTTAGAAATAAATCCAAGAAGTTGTGGAAGTTTTTCCTCCCTCCAGTTCCTCCAAAGGGGAAATATATCATTGAGAAATACAATTAAAGTGCTGGCTTGGAAAGCAGGAGACTGTCAATTCTTGGCCTCCCTTGTGCATGAAAACCGTCCAGGTGACTTTGGATGTGTCACTCCTTCTCAGCCCAGAAATTGTGGGCGCTCCATCGCTGGAAGTTTTTAAAAAGAGACTGGGCAATCACCCGTTTCAGATGGTATAGATCAGGGGCAGGCAACCTTGGCTCTTTTATGACTCGTGGACTTCAACTCCCAGAATTCCTGAGCCAGCTAGAAGACCTCCAAGGTTCCTTCCAGCTCTATTCTATTCTAGTCCACTCCACCTCATGGGGGCATTGAGGGCAAAATAGAAGCAAGAGTAATAATAATAATAATAATAATAATAATAATAATAATAATAATAATAATAATAATAATAATAATAATAACAACAACTGGCTGCCTGTGGCCTTCCGGGTGCGCTTCAAGGTGTTGATCATCATCTTTAAAGCGCACCATGGCATCGGACCTGGCTACCTCCGAGACCGCCTTCTGCCACAGATCACCTCTCACCGGCCGATACGCTCCCACAGAGAGGGTCTCCTCAGGGTGCCGTCAACCAGACAGTGCCGGTTGGCGACCCCCAGGGGGAG